GTTGAACAAAGATTTTCTTCTCATCCATAAATTAGGAACAGCAATCGTGCTGGCTCTACCTACCAAAAAAGGTTGTCTCTGATGTCCTCGTAAAGGAGTGTAAGAGTTTGTGAGACTTGCATAAGTTTCAACTCTAAAGAATTTCTTTTGTGAGTAGATAGTTGGGAATCCAGAAGGTATTTTCTCAGAAAAGCAATACTAGACCCGGTAGTGATGTTTCCAGTCTAACACTACAAAAATCTGTCTCATGACCATACCTCTGGGGCATAACACATAGTAAGGGTCCTACAAATCATCACCACCAGGGGGTCACCCAATGCTGGGTGCTGTGGTTGGAAGTCTGGGTGGATGGCAAGATGGGGTGCCTGTGTATGGGGAAAAGAGGTGAAAACTGATGCTGGACAAAAAAGAAAAGGGACTTGGGGCTACCATGGTAAGGAGCACATGGTGAGGCTGTGGGGGGCCTTTTTCAATGTAAGGATTTATTGGGTGCAGGAAAGAAATGACAGGTTTTGACTTTGGAAAGTTCTATAAATAGAGCTGTTCAGTGCCTTCTCCCACCCTGCCACCTCCTCCACTCTCCTGTTCTATTCCCTATGTTCTATTTTTGAAGTCTTTAGGGCATATATACTATAGCCAGAGTCAAGATGGAAAATCCACTTTCTGCAATTAAGTGTCTAATAGCTCAATTTTTATAAAATAAACCAATGTGTGATACATAAATGTATATTGTAATAACAGAAGGGCCCTGAAGGAGAGGGCCATTTTTGTCCAGGGGTTGGTCAAATGGGTGCACTGATCTTTGCAATCCTGGCCTGGAAGACTTAGAAGAGGCTAACTGCTCCTTTACTGTTTTTCTTCTGGACAGAGGCCTTCCAAATCTGACTTTTCAAATCCCTGATTGAATTCCCAGCAATCTACTTTTCCTGACTATAACAAGAAAAGCATGTTTAAATGAACATGAAATTCCATCAGTATAAAGCCTAGTGCAGCCCAGTCGCCAAAGCTGCTAATAATGCCCTATTGTGTTACTGTGGTGTCCTAGGTTATCATTATGCAGTCTTTGCTCCTGGTTGAGAAAACATGACATTCCATTAAATGCATAATCTGGGTTCCCTCCAAGCCAGAGATGCATCCTGCCTGAAGTCGAAATGAGCTGGGATTCAATGCCATGGAAAAGAGAACCAGTTGCAGGGTTGGGGAGAAGAAGAGAATGGTGGATTCCTTTCCCTGTGATCCACTGGTCTCAGCCTGTACACAGGGTCTAGGCAGCCAGCAGATCTTAGAAGCCCAAGGAAAAAACGAGTCAGCATTTTTTCCCTTCCTGCTCTGCTGTGGTTGGGTGCTGGACAGCAATGTCTCAGGAGGTTCTAAGACAAAAGACTATATCTTTAGGGACCACCCCAGGAGGCTGTCTGTCCTGGTTGCCTGTTGGCCCATCCCCCAGCTCTGGACTCAACAGTCACATAAATTAGCCTGGCTGGAGGTGATAAGCTGGAGCTGCACACATGAACAACCAAATCCTAGCAAGTTTTTATTCAGCACATACTATCCCTGCCTTCAGGTAACAGGACAACCAAAGGAACTCAAAGTCATCCACCTAAATGTAAAGGTATGTGCCTGTAAAGGTTTCCCTACCCCTTGAGCATTTTGGGGTCCCTAATGTGCTTCAAAAGATCCACTAGCACATTCAAAAATTTATTTCAGGAGTAAATACAAAAGAAGCAACTTCCTGTATAAATAGAGGGGCAAGGAACTCAGCACACTGGTTAGAGACCTTCTTTCTCCACACCTGATTTTTAAAAAACTAATGTATTTTTGTTGAAAATAAAATTAATATATGCTTATTATAGAAAATTTTAAAAATTCAGAAAAGCATAAAAACAGAAGTTAAAAATCATGCTTCTAGAGAGAAATACCATTACCATATCAGGTAAATAGTCATACATAAATGTGTTTCATTTTTTACAAAGGTAGAATCAAAATGCATACAATGTTTGGTAACTAACTGCATTTTCTCCCTAGAGTATAAACATTGCCTATTTCTCCTAAAATATCTTCCCAGCATGCAAAATATACAATACATATTTAATACTCTGCATATTACATGTCTTACTTAAATCCCCTGTTGTTGAACATTTATGTCATTTTCAACTTTTTATTGCTTTAAATAGCACGACCATTAGCATATGTTTAGGTACTTTTCTGTGACCATTTGGATTTATCTTTTTTTTTTTTTGGATTTATCTTTAAGATATGGAATTGTTGGATGGAAAAGTAGACCCCATCATATTTTTTAAAGCATATGATATATATTGCCAAATTATCTTCTGGTCTTCAATACAGTAACCACATGTGACTATTTAAATTAACAAATAAAATAAAAATTCACGTCCTCAACCTCCCTAGACACATTTCAAGTGTCAACAGTCACATATGGCTAGAAGCTACCCTATTGGACAACATAGACACAGAACATTTTCATTATCCTAGAAAGTTCTATTGAACAACGCAAGTCTAGAAAGAGGGTACCAATTTATATTTTCCCTAATAAGATGTGACAGTGCTTACAAGCTGGCCAGTAATGAATATTGTGAATCTTTAAAATTTTTTGCCAACCTAATAACAATTTTATCTTGTTTGATTTTTTTTCCATTTCTCTGATTACTAGTAAAGTTGAACTTTTTTGACTATTTGTTGACTTTCATATATATTTTTCTCCTGTAAATTATGCAGTAAGACTATTTTTATTGAGGTGATGCATGTGTGTGTTTTAATATGTAAATATAATATAGCTGGTATGTATTATATTTATATATAGTTTATACACATAAATATGTATATCATATATTTATATATATATTTGTGTGTGTGTATTTATTTTTCTTTTTTGGTGTTGGGACCAAACCCAGGACCTCCCACATGCTAGGTAAGCACTTTAGCACTAAGCTACGTCCTTTCTGGCCCCTCCACATTTTATATAGTAAGATCATCTTAAGAGAATGATTAATGTTGCAAACATTTCTGTAACTTGTTATTATATCTTATTCATGCCTTTTTATTTATGAAAGTGTAGAATTTTGATATATTCAAATCTGTATTTTTCTTTATGGTTTCTATACTATTATTATGCTTTAAAAGCTCTAAACCTAAGATTATAGCAATATTCATCTAAATGATCTTCTAGCTCTTTGATCATTTCATTTTAAACATTTAAATTTTCAGTCCTTCTAGAATTTATTTTGGGGTGTGGTATAAAGTATAAATCTATCCTTTGGATCCCCACACGTTATCAATCCTTTGTCCAAAAAAATTCCCTACTGATTCAAAATTTCACTAAATGCTTATATGTATTTGGATTTCTATTTTTGTCTCTCTGTTCTTTGGCCTTTACCCTCCTGTTTTAATTAACTTGTTTTTTTTAATATTTGGAAAGTATTTCTTTATTATTCATTTCCAAAAATGTTTTATTTCTTTTTACTTGTGTTTTTCCCCCTATCAGATAAGCCTAGAACCATTTTGTTAAATTCCAGCCATCATCAAAATAAATTCTTTCAGAACTTAGACTAAAAAGTTTAATTCACTGTATGAACTGCTTTGGGGAGAACTGATTATCTCTATAGTTTTGAGGCATTCCATTCAGGGAATGGTGATTCTGCCCATTTTGTCAAGTTTTTTCTGTTTGCCGCTCTGAACTAGTTTTCAAAACAACACAAATGCTGATCATCTCTGAGGGTTTTCAGACAGTGTCCCTGAGTCTAGGATCTAGTGCTCCCAGCCACCAGAAGTTAACAAAAGAAATTCCACTTCTTAGTATTGGATTATATTTTCAGTATCCACCTTCTCATAAATCTGCAAGAAAGAGATCTCACTTTTCATCCAAAGAATCTGGAGTTCAAAACAGACTTTACGGAAAAACCAAACTCCAGGGGCAACTGCAAAGCACATTTGGTGTCTAGCTGGCCAGCTTATTTTGCTGGACTCTTTTTCCAATTCCCAAATACTTTCCAGTCTGTGAAATTCATCTCCCTACCGCTGTAACTACAAGGCGCTCCACTGGTTTTAGTGAGCAGGGATCTTCTCTGAGAGGCTTTTTTTTTTTTTTTTTTTATTGTTGAAGGTGGTTTTTAACAGATAGCAGGGAGCTTCCCTGAGTGCAGCTTGGCAAGCCTATGGGGAATCTGGGAAGTGTTGAACTGGTCAGAGTTCAGCTCTCCCTTGATCAAAGTCCTGAAGTCTAAACACTCTCCACCTTTAACAAGAAAACCAGGGCTCCAGCACCTCCCTGGTAGCCCACCAGTCAAAATGATCAAGAGCCTGATTTCTCCTCCACCGAGGTTCTCAAGGCAAAGGAGAGAGAGAATTTACCAGGCAGAGGGGAAATGTGGCTGATATCTTATGAGCCAAGGTTGCAACTAAACATCCTGCAATGTACAGGACAGTCTCCACAACAAAGAATGACCAAGCTTAAACCTCAATAGTGTTATGGTTGAGAAACCCTATCTTGCATTTTCATTAAGTGTCCAGGCTGAACATACATTATATTATGGGGGACAAGGAGAATGCATTTTTTGTAGGACACGGTTTTTAAAAAGAGACCATTGACTTTGAAATGCCGACGTCTCTTTAAAGTGTCTGCAAGTTCTGCCTCTGGCAAGCAAGACTTTCTCAGGAAAATGAGAGGGAGCCTCAGAAACGCAGTGAGTCAATAGCATCCTCCAAGTTTCACGCACGCTCCTCGGTCACAAAGAGCAAGACAGAAAAGAAGTTTGTGCCCCAAACCAGCAGCGTCGCCTCTCCAGCGGGCTGGGGCGGCACAGGAGAGGGATGGGAGGAGCGCTCCCCAACAAAGGCGCAGCACTCGCCGCCACCACCTCCCGTGGTCCCTCTTGGTCCCTTGAGATGCACGCCTGTCCCAAAGCGACCCTGCCAACCCGCCCTGACCGGGGAGAAAGCATCATCACCAGCTTAGCCTAGAGTGAAAGGCTCATGGCACTTACTTGTCCAAAATGAAGTACAGGTCAAATCCCCCGTAGCAGGCTGGACCCCCATCCTCCCTGCGTCCCCCTTGCCCGGCGCAGATAAGCACAAGAGTGGCCAAAGAGAGCCACTTGAAGCCAATGACGAGGGCTTTCTGCTCCACGGTGGCCATGACCCACAGCCCAGGGAGAGAGAGTGGGGTCTTCTTCTCACGCTCCGCGAGCTCGCCACGACCCTCAGGGACACGCCATCCGAGGGCCCCTCCTTTTGGGCTCTTTATTCCCCCTCGCTCCCTAGAAACTCCCCGGAAGCAATTGTCTGGAGGAGTTCAAGGTTTTCCTTCTGGTTTCCGCTTCGATTCTGTTTCTAGGTTTCAGGTTTCAAGAATCTCAATACTGTACTCCGCTTTTTCAAAAAAGAGACTGCTCCGGGGTTCGGACGGTGGGACCGCTCCCCAGGCTGCGCGGAGGTTTTGCAATTGAAGCAGTTCCGTCCTGACGGTTCTTTGTCCCAGATTTTAAGTATTATGGGGTGGGTTTTCAAATTGTTCTTGGTTGGGGCAGTGCTTTGCCTTTTCTCCCTCCCCCTTACCCCCCTTTCTTATTTTTGGAGGAACAAAGTCCAAAGAGTGCCACCTTGTGGCCAGAGATGGCGAAAGCACGCACCGGGGTCCGTGGGAGTGTGGCTCAGAAGGGAGCTGGGGAGACTTAGAGATGCGATGCAGGGTACAAACCTTATGTTCCTTATCATTTTCAGGTAAAGGGCATATGTTTTCTTATTCCTTCCTTTTCCTTGTGCACCTTCCTCCTTCCCCCCCCCCCCCGCACCCACCCAACCACTTCTCCCTTCTCTCTAGTCTTCTTATACTTTCTCTTCCTTCTCTATGTCTGCGGATACGGGCAGTGTAAACATTTGATGAGAACTCATTTCCTCCAAGCATTGTGGCTTCGACTCCAGGCTTGGAAACACAGACCATTGTGCAAGTCAAGCAGAGAAAAACAAGTCTTTGTGATCTGAATTATCAAGTGACCTTATATACTCTTAGCCCAGATCATGAAAGAGATTGTTAGGACTCTTTTGAAAGCAGCACGCCTAATGTCCAAAGTTTCCTACTCCCTCTGCTCCAGGCTTGGAACAGCTGAACCCTCTACATTGTCTCCATCTCCATATTTTAGCGGTTCTGTGACAACAGTTCATCCTTTCAGCCTGTGAACTTTGACTTTCTTTCCCCATCTTTGATGTAGGACAGAAGAAGTAAACAGCTTACAGAAGTGCAGACAGTTCTAAAAAATCCTGTGCTTTCCTTTCTAAACTGCAGAATCTTTCTTTAGAGTGGTCTCTGAGCCCCAGTTCAAGATAAGACCCTAGATCTACCTTCCCCTGCCTTCCACTTTGGGAGTCCTCAATGCACATGCATGCTTCATTGTTTAGGATTCTTCCCCCAGACCGACACACATATTCCTTTCTACTTTTGATCCCTCAAGACACACACCAGTGAACTATCCAAGGTGGTTCTCGTGTGTATACCATGAAATCCTAGTGTCTTGAAATGCTCCATGCAGCATTAATTGCATTTTCAAATAAGTCTTGGAGACTCATAATGCATTGCACTAGCCTGCCTCCAAAATGATCCCTAGTGTCCCTCACCTCCTGGTATTCACATTCCTTCCACATGGACATGACTGACTCATAAGTAATTAATAAGATATTGCAGAACTCATGGTGTGTGACTTCTGGGGCTAGGCCATGGAGATTGTGTGTTTTCCCCTTTGTTCTATGGGTCACTCTGGGGGAACCCATTGTCATATCATGAGTGCACCCAAGCAGCCCTCTGGAGGAATCCAGACAGCAGGAAACTTGAGCTTCCTTGCTGACAGCCAACATCAACTGCCAGCCATGTGAGTATCCCATCTTAGAAGTGGATCTCCCAGCCCTGTCAAGCTTTCCGGTGATTCTAGCCTCACCAGAGACCACACCCCACCCTCAAAGCAGAACCCTTCCTGATTCCTGACCCATATAAAAGGTTTATTGGTGTTTTAAGCCTCTAACTTTGGGACGATTTGTTGTGCAATAATACATAACTAATAAATGCCTATTAAAAGCCTGGATATTTCTGTGGGGAGATTTTTTTTTAATTGTTTCCCAGATTTCCTTGACCATGAAACTATTCTTTTCAGATGCTACTCATTGACACTCATATTTTGTAAATTACTGCTTTCTGGAAAAAAAAAAATAACTGTGGGGATTAAAAATACTCTAATCTGTCCAAGTCTTCTTTTTCTATACTTTTCTCATTTTCAAAAGATGATAAACCCATCTTGTTCCTGCTACAGACCTGTGATGAGAAAGGAGGGGAAATCTATAGAAATTAGCTGGGTACATGAAGGCTGGGAAACCGGAGGGAACTAACTGGTCAGGAAAGTAAGGGAATATGAGCTAGGACAATACGGTAGGGAGAATGTCTGTGGGATTGGCAGGAAGGGGCTTGAATGTCCCTTACGGGACTGGGGGGGGGGGAGAAAGAATCAGGGAGGCATTAGGAAAGTCTTATCTCATCCTTGTGCCCCCAGGACCCTCTTAGATTGTTTAACAGTTTGAGTGACAGGGGAATATCTTGAGCATTTCATTGGGAAAATAATTTATGAAGTTAGCCAGAAGAGGGGAAGCATGAGGTGTCCTAATAGAGGTCTTCAAATTAGAGACATCCACATCAAAGACAGGGGAAGGCCCACATTCTGGATGCAGGTGTATATTCCATGTGAATAAATGTATAGGGAAGGGGAGAGGGTGAAAGAGTCTCCCCTAGGACAAGTATGGTGCTTAAGAGGAGAGGGAAGTAGTTGCAATGGTTAAAAATATTTGAGTGTATCAGCTGCCTCTGCTTTTCTTCCAAGATTCTAGAAAGATATCTATTGGTACAAGTTGATCATCTCCAGATCCTAAAATGGATCTACCCTTCTCTTTGTCTATCTCAGAGAAATCCATTCCACGCTGCCTCACTCACTGGAGGAGATGTCTCCCAAACATTCTCATGAAGTGAACTTGACATTGAATTACAGACATATGGTTTTTCAGGGGAAGGTTAAAATAGACAAAGATGTCCATGGTTTCCAACAATGGTAAATGAAGTCCCTTGTATGATCTTAGCATGGTAGCTCATTGGGGAAGGTGACAGTATCCAGTGCTCTGAATTGGCATCAGCTTGTGCCTTTAGTTGTTGGGATTTGGCAACCTCAAACTTAGTGCACATAGGGAGACAGGAGAGGTGAATCAGTCCCTGGAGGCTAGACCAGGATTTGGGAAGAGTCTCTCAGTAGAGAATTTCCCAGATTAATTTCAGAGTTCAGAGACATTTGAATATCCAGAGTCCCCTGCCTAAATGTTACCATCCTTTTGAAGTAATGTTCAATGTTCTGATCTGATTGGAAATATCCTGACCCTACTCCTTTTCAAGGACTCCAGTGCTCTGGAAGAGATGGATAGGCCAAGGTTCATGGAGATAGATATATGAGGCTTGGAAGGAATTCCCCTGCCTCTTAAATTTAAATGAGTGGCAGAACAATGTACACGGTGATGTCAAGGCTATGGATAGATATTTCTGGAGTTGAATAAATGCAGGAGAAAATTAATCATTCATGTGGAAGCCAAGGCAGGGAAGAAGTAGTCAATAGTGCTCATGCTGTGGAAGTCAGGAGAATAAGCCCTGACAAAAACCCATTGATTTGACATGAATGTCACTGTACCACCCAGGAGCATTCCAGTGAAGGTGAGGGATGTTAGATTGCACTGAGTTAATAGCAAGGGGAAACCTCTCTTTCAAGAGATAACTTGCAAATGTTCAGATGTTTTATTTGCCACAGGAAGAATCTCAAGATATTTAAGCATGCCAGAAATGTCAAGTTCCTTTGGAGAGTTTGTCTTGCTAGACTCATCATAGCAAGGCTTTCATCCTGAACTACAATCACTGCTGTATCTGAATTTACAGTAATTGTTAAATAATATTAAATTATTAAATAGGTTCTTTACTTGCATACTCTCACACTCCCTAACAATTGTGACCTAGCCCCTTTTGTCAAGATGTCCAACATGAAGCTTGCCATCCTAATAATTTTGCCATCTAACCTTTCAAGAATCCCACTGGACATTTAAGTGCTGTTTGAGTTCTTGACAAAGATTCTGGAAAAAGTTCCAGATAACAAACTATCCAAGAAAAATTTGTGAAAAAATTTTCTTAGAAATACTTGCCACAATAGGGACAAATCTGATACTTTCCAGTAAATTTTGTGTCAATCAACTATATCCACTTTTGGAGGTCTCACTGGTCCCTGGACTACTATCTGCAAAAAATAAAGAGGGTATTTCCAAAAGCAATTTATCAACTGGAACAACAAAGTTTCTGAAGAATTCAAATCAACCAAGTAATAGGTTTTACCAATAGAAAAAACAAAGGCACTAGTAATAAAGTTAAGCCCAGATGCAGAACCACAGTCTAGGGCAAGATGCCCTGATGGTATCCCAAAGGCCAAGCCATCCACAATTTCAGCCCAGTAACGGTCAAAGCCTTGTTGAGCAAAGCATCCCATTAATCCCTCAACCGAAGCTTAGGCAATTCTAGTTTAAGAATAAATTCAGCCCAATATATCTTCTGATTTAATTCAGGGCAAACCAAACCCCAGCCCAAAGCTCTGTTAATAATGACCTCAATGCAGAGATGAAACCCATTCAAGTGTGCCCCAATCCAACTTGACTAATTCAGAATCTTTCATAAAATGAGCTCAATTCACATATCAGTCAATATCAGCCCAGATATTTATTTAATTCAGTTCACAACAACTCAGCTAAGGCCACACACCACTCCAGGGGATCCTAAGCCACAGCCAAACCTTCCCAAGAGCACATTCCTTCAAGGACCTAGTCAAGAGAATAATCTATAATTTAAAACAGCATATCCTAAATCCTCTATCCCAGATCCTTGAAAGGATGCAAAATCTTGTGAGCAGACTTTTCATTTTATCTAGCGAAGAGACAAGGTCAATCCTACTCAAAATTCAGATGAAGGTTGAAATGGACCAGTACAATCCAGGATTCTGACAAGCCCAGAGACTGCAAATGCCTAATGGAAGATTGTGATTGTGTGTGTGTGTGGGGGGGATTGAACCCAGGAATGCATAACCACTGAACCCACATCCCCAGTGTCCCCCTCCATTTAAATTTTATTTATTTATCTATTTTGAGACAGGGTCTTGTTAAGTTGCTTAGGGCCTTGCTAATTTGCTGAGGCTGGCTTTGAACTTGCAATCCTCCTGCCTTAGCCTCCCAAGTCGATGGGATTACAGGCGCGCACCACCATGCCCAGTCTGGAAAATTGTATTTGACAAGTCAAAGCCAGCACAAAGCTGAGCACAAGACTAAGTCAACCCAATCCTACCAGTGCTATTCAAAGACCCCAAATCAACTCACAACTGAAGAAATCAGGAGAAATATAACTAGACCTCTCCAGCCGATAACCTCCTTGACCTTTTAGCTAA